AAGTATAGGTGCTAAGGTGCTGGTAATTAACAAAGTCAAATAGAATGCAAAGTAATAAGAGGCAGCAGCTTCAACAAACAGCAGTGGTCACCACGGAGTGAACGAGTGAAAGAGTGAGAACTGCAGGGAACTGAGCGTCTTGAGGGTGACACGCTGCGACACACTGTGACACTGGGACACTTCTGCTGAATGGCAGTCACATGGAGCTCGTTTTATACGCTCGGTTTGTGTGCGGTCTCCTCCTGGCAAAGCGCTCCTCTGCCCTGAGGACCAGCCCGCCAGTTAGCGTCCGCCGTTGCTGTGAAGTGCTGCCAACACAAGCTAGGTCTCTCCTCCTTGAACGTCCCATTGCCTCACACAGTTCCTTTCGCCTCTCGCTCGCTTTCCTCTGCCAGCTAGCGCGACTAGGCGACCAAAACGGCACTAATTCGATTAACGATGCTAAACGATGGCTGTCTCTGATTCGAGCAAGTATTCTCTACTAGTAATTCTACTACTAGTACGCTCACCACTGACTGACTGAACGACTAAAGTACATTTTATTGTGACAACTGATAGTGTGTCACTTTTTCAGCCGATGAGGAGAATAACTGGTGATGGCAATGAACAGAGGGAATAAGGGAACTGTGTGAGCAAACAGTGACAGCTACTGAGATGATTTGATGAGAATGACGTGCTGAATTCAGTCGTAGAAAAGAAAAAAAAGATGTTTTGCGAGATCGATAAAATGATATTGCTTTGGAAAAAAAGTGAAATACTTGCTGACAATGGTTTTTGATAAATCTAAAGATATAAAAGAAATATTTAATTTTCTCAAAATAGTGCTCAAGTCATCAAATAAAGCTAATTACTGAATGGCGGCTTCAGAAACGTTCCACACTCTATCTTACTATTCTTTCATTCTTTGCTCAAGTAAAACCACTTAAAGTGGACGTCTGCTTGCGGTCGTCGGACTGTTTGCACAGTTTGCGGCACCATTCAACCACGGCCGCGGCCGCAGACGCAGTTTATTTGCTTAGCCGTGAACGTCGTTGCGCTTTGAATTGACCGCTGCAATCTCAATCGATTGCTTGCTGTGATGTTGACTTTGTCTGTCCGCATACATAGATTTCCGGCAAATATCGTTTAAATACACACACTACCTCTGGTGCTCTGGTGGACACAGTCCCTAGTTGAGTCACATCAACTTTCATTGACTAAATTTGTGCCTCATCCGCACGACATCTAATCGATGTCTTATCCGTTGTTGGTCTATGCACCTAAGACGGCCTTGCAGTCTTACACTCACCACCTTTCTCACAAACTCAGCCTCCCCCTCTTCCACTTTCCCATAGTGTTCCCCAGTGTGAATGTAGCCAAGTGAGCGGCACTTTCACCGAACTTGGTCTCTTTCGTGTGTTCGCTGACATTGAGAAGTCAGACTGCATCAGTGTTTGGCCCGTGAAGAAGATGATAATGATGATGATTGGCCTCACTGACTCACCTACTGACTGACTGACACTCGTGCACTTGGGGCTGGCAAATGGAAAAAAGTTCACAGGTCGTGTGGTAGTAGTTTAGCGCTCTTTTCAGTGCTTTCAGTTGCTGCTCTCTGCTAACTGGTCGACTGAGCAGTTGAATTGTCATTTTGTATCGAACAAATTGCACTGCTCATGCTTACTGCTTCTGCTGCTGTTGTTGTTGATGTTGCTGCCAATAGACATACATTTTACTGCTTTGGCCTCACGGTCAATTGTACTGGTGCGTAATGTCGTAATGGCGGTCTCAAGCCTCACTTTAGCCAAACAGATCATTTCCTGCTGCATTCAGCGATACACAAAGCCGCGCACAGGCACCGACCATTTCAACCTGGCCCTAGCTGGCGGAGGAGCACACTAGGAGCGGAGAGATGGTGCACTGCCTGTGACTGCCTGTCGCTAATTGAAACGTAAAGGTAACGAGACCAATCGACAAATGGGAGCACGCAACGTTAGCAGGCAAACTTGCGCAACTCTAATTGCCGGCATCTCCTGTGTGCATCTGTGTGCTTGTTGCCGTGTGAGCGGACATGATGGCGGTCCGTTGGATGGTACCTCACCATCACTACCATCAGTCTTCCGTGCGTTGGCGGTGCTCAGAGACATAGAGGCCTCCGACGCGATTTCCGACGCTCTGGCTGTTTTGCTCAGTTAAGATTTAAGTGAAACGCAATGAACGGAAGAGCTGCTGGGAAACTGACTGGAAAATGGCTTGACTCCTTCACACTTTGCCACGTGTGTGGCAGAAAGTCATCACACAGGGAGAGAGAGAGAAAGAGAGAGAGAGAGAGCAAATGAAGGCATCACCACTTGGCTAAAAGGCACCGGATTTGCGCCAACTTCTCGGCTCAAATCCACTACTCATTAGCACTACCAAACACACACACATACACACGTGACTGGTTGGCGGCACTACAGAATGATTGCTAAATGCAGCACAAATTGAGTGTTGATGCAAAAGCAGCCACTTTATAAATCTTTCAGATTGAAGAGAGAGAGAGAGAGAGAGAGAGAGAGAGAGAGAGAGAGAGAGACACGTGTGTTTGCATGTGAAGTCGCGTGGCACTTCTTAAGACGTGTTTTTCGTTGACAGAAGCTGCAGACTTCATCACTTCATAACTTTGACTTTGTCCGCCTCCATTAGAGTCGTTACGCTTTTTCGTCGGCTGACTTGCAATGACTTAATTCTCAACGACGACGACGACGACGACGGCAGCAACTATAAAACGGACGAGGCACTTTCTGCAGCACTTTAAAGTTTGCTAGCCCAAAGTCACTTTGGAAAAGCCAAATTAATTTGACAGACAGTTTTAGGCAATGTGGGTGAAAGCTGATGAGGGGTGAAATTGAAATGGATGCAGTCCATCCCGACCAATGCCGACAAGTGCTTTTTAGAGCATAGTTTAGTCTGAAGTGCAGTCGCAGTTTTCCCGTTCTCGGAACAGGAGCAAGTGTCATTCGACTCGAGTGTTTGTTAGCGGGTACCAAAGTTTCCAAAACTTGCAGTTGCCACTTGGCGGAGGAACATGGCACACATCGAGAGAGGAACTAGTGCAACTTACTAGGCCATTGTGCATCCAGGCAGGCAGACAGGCAGGCACAGAGAAAACTGTCACTCAAAACGGCTACACCTGCATTGATCGGAATCACTTGGAATTAATCAGAATACAATGTGGCAGGGCTGCTGCTGCTGCTGCTGCTACTGCTGGCAAAGGCAAATGCTAATTGCCAACAAATATCACATTCACTCATTCACTTCACTGCTCTTCAGACGAACGATGGGGACCAGAACTGTGTGTTCACTGTCGGATCAGCGAGCCAACTAAGCACAAAGTACAGGCAAATCTCACACTGTCGATAAAAAACGTCTGCACGATTTATNAAAGCACAAAGTACATGTCTCGTCTCGTTCGATGCAAGTGCCCAGACAATGGAGCTAATGATTGCGGTGAAGTCGCTGTCGCTGTCGAGTTGCTATTTGCTGCTGCTCTCCATTGCTCACTATTGCTCTCTCTCTCTCTCTCTC